ACACACACACACACACACCCACACACACACACACACACACGTGCGCACCCGCGTGCCTTTTCAAGAATTGGGCACAGGCTTCTCAAAGAAGGATTCCGAGGGCTGGTGGGGAGCCGGAGCTGACAAACACAGGAAACAAAAACTGTTTCTGGGCGTATGTCCGTTACTATGTCAATTCTATGTTGCGAACTTGGGCCTGCGACCCTGACCATGCTAGGATTAAAGTCTTCTGACGGCTGTTTCGGGGCTAGACCCCGACTACGCTAATTTGGATCTCAGAATTTGGTGGGAGCTTTGGGGGGGGGGTAGCATTCTGTAAAATAAGACTTCCGGTTGAGACTCTGGATCACCATTTCTTATCCCCCATCAAACGGTCAAGAAACATTCCAGACCCTGATCAAAACATGTGGTTTTCTTAACATACCGATCGTACTTATGTACTTATTTGCATTTATACTTATGTCTATATCTAATATGGACTTGTCTTTTTCGGGGTCCCCAGAATGATGGTTATACGTTTAGTTTCCCCTTAACACCAACCAAAAGAGGATTCCCAAAAAACAGACACCCCCCTATAGTTCTGTAATGTACAAATGTGCGAAGAAAGGTATAACCTACATTATCGTATCTTGTCTTATATGATCTGAGCTCAGCTTAGCTTAGATATCCATCCATCCATCCATCCATCCATCCATCCATCCATCCATCCATCCATCCATCCATCCATCCATCCATCCATCCATCCATCCATGCACCCATCCACCCATCCACCCATCCACCCGTACCCCCATCCACCCATCCACCCATCCACCCACCCACCCACCCACCCACCACCCACCGACCCACCGACCCACCCACCCACCCACCCACCGACCCACCGACCCACCGACCCACCGACCCACCGACCCACCGACCCACCGACCCACCGACCGACCGACCGACCGACCCACCCACCCACCCACCCACCCACCCACCCACCCACCCACCCACCCACCCACCCACCCACCCACCCACCCACCCACCCACCCACCCACCCACATGCAATGATGCGCGTGTTCATAAATATCATTTTTACATATTCAATGTAGTCTAACACCTGTGCATAAGACGTAGGAAGGATTCTCGCACTGCACCCTGGAAGCTGTCGGACAGGAAAAAGCGTCGGATCTTGGAGCCCTGCTACTGGGAAGATCGGCTCGGGTCGTCGAATCAGCATCTTGTAGAAGGACTGGGCCTGGTGTGCTGGTCCCATGGTTGTCGGCCCAAAGAGCGGACCCCAAAAAGCAGCCAACGCCAAAGCAACTGGACGACAGGGTTCCCCCCCCCCCCCAAAAGCGGCACTAAAGAGCGTAGTGGGATTGCGGGGGGGGGGGGGGGTGGCCGTAACTATAGGACGAGCCGGACAGTGAAGGATACCCAAGATGGGACACAGCCCTGGGCCCTTACAGTTCCCCAAAGAACCTGGGCCAGTTTAATTCACAGACCCTCGGATTCCCCCCGCTAAGGTCCGGACGACTCGATCTGCCACTCCGGTTTCAGGCGCATCCTTTTCCCCTGCGAGCTTGGCATTTCAGCTGCGCCCGACTCAAGACTGTCGCCTGGTTCACAAGAATACTTGATCCCACCATGGAATGTCATGGCTCTGTGGCAGTGAGTCCTCCCGCGCTCCTCCCAAAACAGGGATCCTGACATTATACGCCTGAACATTGCCTTGTCAATGGTGGTTTCCCTTTGTTTTGGTGGAAAAAGCCACATGTTTCAAAGACCCTCCCAAAAGTGTGGATATCTTGACCGAACGTATGACTCAAGCAGCCAGCCTTCAGCTCTGCCGTGAAGCACAGGCAGAATGCTGAAGAAGTCCTCTCGGCATGAGCCGTCAACTTCAAACTCAAAGAGCCTGGAATTAGGACCCCGGCAAAAAATACATATTAAACATAGATTCTTCGCCTGGTGAGTGGAAAACAAAGGGACCCCGAAAAAGCCAAAACAAGAAGCGGGGGCTAATTCAGGCGAAGAGAAAGGAGGCCTCCACTTCCCTTTGGTTTCCCATTATGGTCAGATCAATTCTCCAGATCTCGGCACCTTGGGCGAGGCATTCTTCGAGAGATCCAGCGCGCAGCGCGCAATGCACCTCAGAATTAAATTCGCGTGGATCGTTGTTTGGGGTGATTGATCTTAAAGAGAAACCAAAGGAAACCAACCTTTTTGGGGGGTATGGGAAGCTAACGGAAGACTACGGGAAGCTGACGGGAAGATGATGGAAGACTACGGGGATGACGGAAGACTACGGGGATGACGGAAGATTACGGGAAGTTGACGGAAGACTACACGAAGATGACGGAACTGCGGGAAGATGACGGGAAACTGACGGAAGACTGCGGGAAGATGACGGAAGACTACGGGGGAAGATGACGGGAGACTACGGGAAGATGACGGCAGACTCATTTGGGGACACATTCGAATCAAACGAAACACTACCTGGACCTTCCAACCTTGAACATTCGATGCTGGTTCAATCATTTGAGTCATTTGTAATAGGCAGTTTGAGGGTCCAGGTACCCTCCTGTCCATGAACATGGATCCTGACTAAGGGGTCCTGGACGATTTTCCTTTTAATGGGACCCTCTAATAGGTTCCATGTTTATGGACAGGAGGGTATATTCAGATAGCCACCCACTGAAAAAAGACCCCCCGCTTTCCTTCTGGTCGGGTTCCTCTGAGCTTGTGAGTCTGAGGCGACGACTCAGGGATGCGAACATCCAGCAGGCGCACCTGGAAGCACTAAACCCTTGCACTTGCGGGGCATTTAAATGCGGGACCCTTTGGCGGACATCGGACATTTCGGTGGGTTTCATGTCCACCAAGCTTTTCAGCACATTCCAGCTCTAAAATTTTACTGCAACTGGTTGGTAAGCCTGGCCACAAACCACTTAAATACCCTGGACGGTCAAATCCACTTTGCACCAGTTGGTAGCGTGTAATCTAGCGTTGAAGTGCCTGGCGCCTGTGTCCATCGCGGACTTTACTATGGTAAGTGGGTACCCTTTTGCCCATAGCACGCACCGAAGGACCGAAGGACTCGCGAAATTGCGACATGGTCGGCCTCCGGCCTCCGGTTTGGATGCCGGTTTCTCCACACCCCGAGCGACCCAAAGAATTCGAGAGACGTTGCAAAGGCTGAGGCTGCGTTCCTTCCCCACAAGTGGAGCACCATCCCAGGCGTTTTTCCTATAGGCACCAGCGAAAAGGAGGTGCGTATCAACTTCAGACATCTCGCGAGCCCCTTGACTTTGGGCACTAAAGTAACTGCAAAGGTTTAGATTGGCAAATCTGATAAAACCATGTGAGTATGGGTCAAAATGAAACCACCAGCAAACCACAGGTGTTAGTGATTGATTCCATTTACTAGAGTTCCATTTTAGGGTACCTATTTCTGACCCACGCCCATGGTACTTTCTACAATGGGGCTTTGGACATGGCTTTTTCTTGTCACATAGGCCCTGGCGTTCGTGTTGATGATCTCGTTGTCGCCCACGCGGCTGTCCAGGAGCACGCTCCGGCGGTCTTGCGTGGTGTTCAGCGGCCTCGATGGATTCACGCCTCTGATTCAAATCGGTTGGTCTCACAATAGGAAGACCCAAAGGGGTGACGATGCGTGCAACTACGTACATGTTCCCTTTAAAATGGTGCTCTCCTTTCGCTTCCCTACCATCAAAGCAGCGGTCTCCTTTTTTGGTGGAGTGATATTTGTAGAGGTATGTCGGGGGGCCCCAAAATGGGTGGCTTCCCTGGTGGTTTCCCTCCCGCCAGCCTGAAAAGAGTTCCCTCGAAAAAGCCCCCCCCCCACATTCGGAGTCCGGGACACTGATTAAGTCAGAGTCAACCTGTTCCATGGTTCATCACTACCACCCTTGTTAGTGGGTTGACATCATCCCCATGAAAGTGGAAATTTGGAGACTGCGGGGGGCAGGTGTCAAAACAAAAAGGGACGGTTTTTGACATCGGACAGCACCAAGCGGAGGATAACAGTGAGGTCTGCCAAAGTCTCCAAACCATAGAAGATACCCACAACAACAAAAAAATGAAATCTCCCATGCCCAAGTGCTGCGTCGGGAAAATCCCCAATAAACACTATAGGGCGGGTTACCGGGTGGGTTCTACATGACCTCAGCAAAATGGGAAATGTGCCTTCTTCCGTCGGCTCGCTGAGGCTCGCGCGCATGAACGTGAGCTGCAAGGCGTAGAGACACCGCGCTGGGAGGCAGCGGGAGGAAGCAGAACAAGCGGCCCTGGACGGACGAGGCGTTGCTGGCGCGCGCAGTTTGGTTTCGGCTGACGTTGACGAATGAAGAAAACGCATGCGCCATGTGGTCATCATGGTTCACTTGGCATGCATCGGCTGTGTGAAACCGTGGTAAAGGGTGAATGACCACATGTAGCAACCCCAAGCAAACATGCCTTTCGACCATGGCACACGTGGCCTATTGACATGAGTCTATGGTGACCCCAAATAGTACCTGGTGGATTGATTGCTGGTGCAACTCCAAAAGTGATCAAAGAGATGAACGCCGAAATGGGACATCCCCCACCCCTTGAAGTCTTGAATGCTTGAATGAGCTTGTCAGTGAGCAGGTTGCCAACTTTGGGGGGGTGCCGGTGTTGGATTGCCCAGCCCGTTCGGTAAGAGGGGACCAGAAACTGAATCAAAATAATGACCCCATAACCAGTGAGAAGAAAGGGGTCACCTGGATGTCCCCGGTGTTTTCCATTAAAACTGCCACTTTGGGAGGTTCCAAAATGAGCAATGGAGGAAACACTAATGAAGGGTGCCACTAAACAACTGGGATTCAGCGCATTGCCAACTTCACGCCTCTTCCTTCCGCAAATTGGTCTTGAAAGCTGCGTCAGCAGCAGGTGCCTCCTGAGGCGAATGTTCATGCTAAACTAAGCCGCCCCCCTTTTTCCGCACCAAAGATCATGTTGACCCATTCAGCATCGGATTGGGGGGGCAGAAAAAGTTCCTTTCTATCAAACTCTGCCAGTTGAGTCTGAGGCAAGATACCCGGGATGTGGCCATGGTTCAAAACCAATGGTACCATTTTGGGATAGGTCCACCACCCATTTTAGCCTATTTTATTGGGGGATGGGGCTGTTCACTGGGGGTACGATTTGGATTTGACCCATGGCCATATCCCTTCCGCCAAAAACCCAAACCCTGGTCGCACAAACAAAGCTCTTGGCAGCTCCAAGGGCAGGACTAGAGGAAGGGCGATGCAAACTTGCTCCGCGAGGCCGCAGTCCGCACCACCAATCAGCCTCCAAGTCGCGGCTTGCTCGTTTTCTTTCGAGGCGATACCCGGAAAGTCAGGAGTCAGGGTGGTTTGAAGGGAAAGCAACGGGAAAGCCAATCTATTTTGGGGTTGAACCGAAGGGACCCGTTTTTTAGGGGTTTAAAGGGAATCTAAAAACGACAACGAGTTTTGGGCGCCCCTAGATGGACCAATCCACGCCGGTCAGCCACCAGTTGTGATGGACGAAATCCGATTTGAATACCAGGTGATAGACCATCCATCTCAGGTGCCGATCGAATCGCGTGGATTTGGTCCATCCACGGGTTTTCCCCGGCTTTAGCTTTGGTCTCCCAATAAAACCACCTCTACGACTTGCTGGTTCTCAGTAGGGAATGAGCAATGTAAGAAACGGAATGACCCCTATAAACCATCACTTGTGGTTTCCCCTGGGCCTGGGTTCATTCCATGCAACTCATTCCGTGCTTATCGCGCCACCTCCAAAACGGGTTCCAGAGGTCCATTTCTTCAAAGGCCACTGCCCGATTTCCGCTGGCCTCGAAGCCAGTTGAAGGCTTGCCAATATCAAGAGCGAGGGGCCCTCAAGCGCACAGATTCCTTTAAGCTTGTGCAAGGAACTATGGTGTTTTAAAAAATACGATATGTGTATTAAATTAATCTACTTTGTTTAATGTATCTGTCTATCTATCCATCTATCTGTATTTCTATCCTTTATTGGTCTCTAGATGCAACTAGCATGCAACTATGTTTACTCATTTTAATTCATACACATAGTTCTCCTCTTGTTTGTGGCCCAATGTCGTGGTCAGGCCTTTCCAAAGACTGAGCTAAAGGCGTCTGCTCAACAACTCATTCAAGCACTTTTGGAGAATGCATCTCATCTGCAAGCCGCCGACATATTTGGAATTGCCGAAAGGGTTTCTCCCCAAATGAAAAAATTGACTAGCTGGGCTGTTCAAACTGGAAGGTTGCTCATTCCGATATTCATAATTCCTATTGGGAAACCACGAGAAACGGAAACCACATGACATGCGCAACTCAGCGTAAGGATTCGGCATTGCCTTTGAACAGCCCACATAGCCCAAGAGGCATGGACAAATGCTGGATTCTTGAATTGATGGATCCGGGTCACATCCTCGGTCAGCCTTTCTGGAGTTGCAAAGTCCTCCTCGCAAGCCCAGGAAGGCTCACTGAGGATCGACCCTGAAAGAGCAAATCTGCAGGCGCATGAAGCTCATGTGATGTACGGCTCGGCTCCGACCACAAAATTCGGCTGGCGGGAGTGCTGGGGTCGTCGATCTTTCGGAGCGTTTGGCATGCCTAGCTCCAGGCATGCCAAGTGCTGCTCAATAACATCTGGCATGAGTAAAATGAAGCTCGTGGCAGGCAACTGGGGGCATCCTCGCCGGCGGTCGCGCCTGGCAATCCTCTGAGCACCTGTCTCCTCAGCTTCGGCAGCGTAGAGGCACGCTCCCGCAGCGTCTCATAAAAGATGCCACCAGGATCCGGAGTCGGCTCGTGAAGGCAAGGAAGGCAAATCGATCTCCTTGCTGAAGGAAAAACGCGAGACTTCGCGCTGGCGAAGGTCTGTTCCAAGCAATAGTACATGGCTCTGTGCTGCTTCAACTAATTATTCTCTAATTTATCTGATTGCCTTGAGCCTCTGTTCCGCCATGGTTAGCGTTGCTGGCTTAACGATAAACAAATTCTATTATTCTAAGCGTTTAATCCAAAATATAAGAAATAATATAAAAAAGATAAAAGAGAAGCATTATATTAATTCTATTTAAAATCACATATTAATTACTGTAAAATCCTTGACAATTAACCCGAACGAAGAGAGGAAGAGCAAAGACAAATAGAAAAGAAAGGAAAAAGAAATCCATTCCAGATTCTTTGGGTTATTTGACAGTGATAGAAGTCCTTAGGCGACAATTGGATGAGTCTCGCCAACAGATTAGTGTCTACATGAGTGCGAGACGAGAAGAGAGATGAGAGAAAAGATAAGGTGAAATCCTTTGTCTCTCTTAGACACTTCCCTGTGAACCATTCTCCCTCCATTTCTTTACTGTATCTTGTCTCTCATTCCTTACTCTTTTATCATCTTATTATCCTTTTCCTTTATTAACAGGATATAGATAGGATGGATAGACGTGTGAATTAGAAAGGAAAAGATGTCCAATTGCCTCCTTCTCAGCCTCTGGGCTTCCCGGCACACCCTGCGCATCGTCAAATTCCAACATGCCCAGTTCACACACCTCATCTCTTTTCAAGTGCCTGGTCTATAGGTTAGGCGCCACGCTGTGAGAGGTGAAAGGAAGTGACATATTGTCCCATCGTGTTTCATCCATTTTACCCGTCTGGAAAGCACAAAAGAAAAAGATAGAGAGAGAGAGAGAGAGAGCGAGAGAGCGAGAGAGAGAGAGAGAGAGAGAGAGAGAGAGAGAGACAAAGAGAGAGACAGAAAGAAAAAGAGAGAGTGAGAGAGAGAGAGAGAGACAGAGAGAGAGAGAGAGAGAAACAAAAAACAGAGAACTAAGTATGGGATGTGAGCTCATGTTTACCTGTGCCCAGCTTATAAATCCAGCAGTCCACTTATTTGTGGTTGAGGACTGTCCCAGGTTGCATAACACCAAATATTCCAGTCAATCCCAAGGGGCTGCGAATCTGCTTCCCATGTTCGGTTCGCGGTTAGCGTGGTTTGGAGATGTGGGGTGCTTTCCCATGTTCCACAAGAACCAAGGGTTCCAATCCAAATCCAAACCTATCCAAACCACCTTACCGGTATCCTGAACCCAGGCTTCGCGAACGAATCGGACGAGTGGCAGGTACAAATGACTGGCACAAAAGCCATCCTTGAAGCTTTGGGTTGGGACAACAAATCTGTACCCGTTGGGATTCTGATGTGGGGTCAGGCAACTAATCAAAGGGTTTGTTTCTAAGTGTCCTTGAAGGCGCAACGGACCACTCGAAAAGCCCTCGAACAAGTGCCGAAACGGCGGTTTTTGTTTTTGGGGAGTGACAGACCTCACAGCTGCGGTAATTTGTGGTTGTCGATTTGCTTTTGCTCTTGTTGCAGCTGCTAGTAGTCGTCGTAGATGCGGGGGGGCACTACCCCCAGAAAGAAAGAAAGAAATCCGCCGACGCCAGCCTGTAGATGGCAGTCCGCAACTTGGTCTTCCTTCGGATTTCTTATCAAAGCCGAAGGCTTTTGGGGCTGCCTTTTTTTGGGCATGGTGTGCTGGGTGTCCAAAACCCTGTAATTATCCAGTGTTTTTGGGGCTTGCCTGCTAAGAACCTGCTAGGTCTCTAGGGGGGGAGGGGGTTTCCCCCCAAACGCGCAGGATCTGCATCCCCAGCATCATCAGGGTTACCTTGCTGCTATGAAATTGTCTCTTTTTTGCAGATACTAATGGTGTTTTGCTGTTTCAAGCGATGTTGGAATCGGCCTGTTAGGGGTCTGGGTGTGCCAAGTGCAGTGATACGTTGAGGAACTGTTTGAATTTGCAAAAACGAGTATTCTCCACCCACCTGTGCGTTGCTAGTATCTGCTTTTGATGGTTGATTTTGGGAAATATCAACAAATCGTTTTTGGACTTTTTTGTGGCCAGCCGGCTGCATTCCCAGCATTCCCGACATCTCTGGTATTTTCTGTGCTACGTCAATTTTGTCTTGAAATGTTGGATACGAAAATCGGGTCCGGTCTGTTCCTGTACGTTGTGTGGTTGCATCCCTTGCATTTCCAGCATCCCCAGCATCTGGGACATGTGTCCTGACCAAAAAATGTGCCAGACTTTTACCAAAAAAAACAAAATGTCTTAAAATCCTTTGCACCCCACTGGTGTCGGCGGATCGCGTAGCGATTTCAATAAGATGCAACAAACAAATAATAACATATATATATATATATAATATGTATATATGTATATATATATATATATGCACGGCGGTTGGGAGTGTAACGGATCATACTTGGTGCTGCATGTTTGTCATTTCACTATGTCGTAGTTCTGTCTCTTTTTTCTCCAAAAACATTCATAGCATTGTTTCATGTCTGCTGCGACGTTGTAGACCACTGACGCCCACCCCGAAACTGAAGCAAGGCGTTATAAAACCATATGCGTATCGCATCATGGTGATGCCACCAGTTTTCACAGTCACAGATCCTGGTACATGTACTGCGGGGGGATCATGTTCTTCACTCCATCCGGGCACTGATCGACCATGGACTGAGGAAAACCGAAGTAGTACTTGTCATCATCTCCAGCAAACTTGGCCTGCGCATCCGTGATGTCCAGGTTCTCATACATCCACCAGAAATAGTTGGGCCCCGGTTGCTCCAGCTGGGACTGGAAGTATAGCTGACAGCGCAGCTGCCCGGTGGAGCGATCGATATAGTAGTAGAGAGGAGCACCGTTGAACCAGAGGCCCTCAACGACATAGACATCGGCCGAAAGTTCCGCCTCCGTCTTCGGGTCTTGGATGCTTGTGCTGGCGACGTAAGTGACGTTGACGCTGCGATCCTTGAAGGCCTGCATGGTGGGCAGCTTGGGAACAAAGCCAGGAGGAGCGTAGATGCACTCGGCATGGCCCCCCCAGTTGATGTTGACGTTCAGCAGGGAGCCATCCACCATGGACATGTACTCCAGCATCTCCCCGCCGGGATTCTCTCGGTCATAGACCGGCTCCCTCCTGAACAGTTGCTGGTAGGCAAGACGCTGCTGCGCAGCATCATAGTACTGGAACCCCCAGCTGGTTCTCACTCTGGAGCCATCTGGATTCACAACGTAATAGAAAAGGTCCGCGATGTTGCTGTCATCACCCATCACGCCCGTATCCACGGGCACCGGAGTGGAATGCTCACTCTTCGACTTCAGTTGAGCTTCAAAGGTGGCTCGGTCGCGGGGATAAGGATCGCTGCCTGCGATAAATTGAAGATCGGCAGCGTGAGCCAGAGCGGCGAGAGCCCAAAGAGATGCGATCCGCACCATCGGCGAAATATGAAATACTAGTTCTGAGCCGAGACACACGCTGCTGTCATGGATGTGTCACTGCGCCAGAAGCGATAGTTTGGGTGTTACTGGTGACTGGTGGTGAGGACGGGAGCGGGGGGGGTGGCGTGGCGTGCCTCGCCTGAAGCGCTTTCTGCTAGAGGCGAGGAGCAAGAAGGATCAGTTAAACGCAGATGAGCAACACGCAACAGGAACAAGCAATGAGCCCTTATTCCACCAAAACTTCTGTCTCCAGACAAAATAAGCAAACATGCATTTGAAGAGGTACCTGCTAACTATGTCCCTAACAAAATGAAACAAATCAAAAACAGTGCGCACTCAACTGCAGGAGGGTGTTGGGCAAAACACAAAACACTCAATACAAAGACCTGTCTTCCTCTCACCACCAAAAAAAGTACCGAGCATGAAAAAACGACACGCCCCGCTCAAATCGGCTTGAGCCCAAATAGGGGAGCCGCAAAAATAATGTGAGTCTCCCTTCGGTGTTTCTTTAAATCGTAAAAAGCGAAGCCGAAAAACAACAAACCCACATGAGTGTGCGATTTTTTGGTGGATGCCCCCTTTTGGTTGGTTTCAAAGGGAAACCAAAAGGAAAACTACTTTAAGGGGCCCCAAACAAAAAAAGGAGCTGCGCCCGAAGTGTGCGCCCGCCTGTAGTGCAGGAAGCTCTCCCGCGCGGCTGCTCTAAAGGTTGTGGCGTGCACCGCGATGTTCGCCACCACCTCGGTGGCAGCTTCGCTGCCTCCGGAAGAATTTCCTCGGGGATCGCAAAAGGGTGCGCCGTTTTTTTTTTTGCTACCCCATTTTCTGGCACGGTTGAACGGAAGATCCAAGGAAAAGCGACAAATGCAAATTTGTTGTTTTCTTTCGGAGGAGGGGGGGGTCCGATTCCTTACAAGCCCATTTGAATACAAAGTTTCTTGAGGATCTTTGAAGTTGGTATCCTCACGCCATGGAAAATCATGGACGTAGACACGGGATTTATTCGTATCGTCAGGGTAGTCTTCCTATACTCTCCGAGGTGCACTTTCATGATGACAGCAAACCGACTCGTTGTGGTTGGTTATTTCCTTTGGGAAACCACCTGAATCGCCAGGTGCGAGTCTCTGGCAAACAGCAGCAACTTGGCGATCTAGGAGGTACGGTGGCTGCCCCGTAATATTGCAGGTGAATCAGCCACAAACCATGGAATTCACAGGGTTTTCCTTGTTCCCTGCCCGCTGATATGTAGGATTTAGGGTATCCACTGTACCCTCAGCCCGCCAAACACGATTTGGTGCACAGGTTCCCCATTTGGAAGACCGTCCTTTTGGTTGAAACGAGTTCTGTGCACCAGTGGGAGAGTATGCTTTTTGGCTTCCATTTGTGGCTTCAGGTCTAAAAAAAGATGACCACGGAAGATATCCCCAAAAACGACAAAGGGTGGTAATTCCTGCGGCCTTTCCGGATCAGAACTGCTTCAATGTCCGGATCGTACCTGCTAGAGAGGGACCCTAGACCTGATTGTGGATGCCGACCCCTTTGCAAACCTCGAGAAAAAAGAAAATCAATCCCCAATCATCTAGCCCTCTCATGTAGGTCCTAGTCAGTTTTTGG